ATTTCATAACATATACCCAATACACACATAATTAGTTAGGAATGGGATTTAAGAATATATACATATATGGACAAGCAATAACAGAGCGGCATGGACTAAGATACAGAATAATATTATAGAATAGAATGCAGTATATACATATGAGATGAGTAGTGCAAGATATGTAAACATTATTAAAGTGACTAGTGTTCCATTTCTTAAAGTGGCCAGTGATTTCAATAGGCAGCAGCAGCCTCTAATGTGCTAGTGATGGCTATTTAACAGTCTGATGGCCTTGAGATAGAAGCTGTTTTTCATTCTCTTGGTCCCAGCTTTGATGCACTTATACTGACCTCGCCTTCTGGATGATAGCGGGGTGAACAGGCAGTGGCTCGGGTGGTTGATGTCCTTGATGATCTTTTTGGCCTTCCTATGACATCGGGTGCTGTATGTGTCTTGGAGGGCGGGTAGTTTTCCCCCAGTAATTTGTTCGGCAGACCGCACCACCCTCTGGAGAGCCCTGCGGTTGTGGGCAGTGCAGTTGCCGTACCAGGCAGTGATACAGCCCGACAGGATGCTCTCAATTGTGCATCTGTAAAAGTTTGTGAGGGTTTTAGGTGATAAGCCAAATGTATTCAGCCTCCTGAGGTTGAAGAGGCGCTGTTGCGCCTTCTTCACCACACTGTCTGCGTGGGTGGACCATTTCAGTTTGTCGGTGATGTGTACGCCATAGGAAGCTTGAAGCTTTCCACCTTCTCCACTGCGGTTCCGTCGATGTGGATAGGGGGGTGCACCCTCTGCTGTTTCCTGAAGTCCACGATCATCTCCTTTGTTTTGTTGATGTTGAGTGAGAGGTTATTTTCCTGGCACCACACTCCCAGAGCCCTCACCTCCTCCCTGTAGGCGGTCTCGTCATTGTTGGTAATCAAGCCTACTACTGTTGTGTCGTCTGCAAACTTGATGATTGAGTTGGAGTCATGGGTGAACAGGGGTGAGTACAGAAGGGGGCTGAGCACGCACCCTTGTGGGGTCCCAGTGTTGAGGATCAGCAAAGTGGAGATGTTGTTTCCTATCTTTACCACCTGGGGGCGGCCCGTCAGGAAGTCCAGGACCCAGTTGCACAGGGCAGGGTTCAGACCCAGGTCCTCAAGCTGAATGATGAGCTTGGAGGGTACTATGGGGTTGAATGTTGAGCTATAGTCAATGAACAGCATTCTTACATAGTTATTCCTCTTGTCCAGATGGGATAGGGCAGTGTGCAGTGTGATGGCAATTGCATCGTCTGTGGATCTATTGGGGCGGTAAGCAAATTGAAGTGGGTCTAGGGTGACAGGTAAGGTAGAGGTGATATGATCCTTGACAAGTCTCTCAAAGCACTTCATGATGACAGAGGTGAGTGCTACAGGGCGATAGTCATTTAGTTCAGTTACCTTTGGTTTCTTGGGTACAGGAACAATGGTGGCCATCTTGAAGCATGTGGAAATAGCAGACTGGGAAAGGGAGAGATTGAATATGTCCATGAACACACCAGCCAGCTGGTCTGTGCATGCTCTGAGGACGCGGCTAGGGATACCGTCTGGGCCGGCAGCCTTGCAGGGGTTAAAATGCTTAAATGTCTTAATCACGTCGGCCATGGAGAAGGAGGCCACAGTCCTTGGTAGTGGGCCTCATCAGTGGCACTGTGTTATCCTCAAAGCGGGCGAAGAAGGTGTTTAGCTTGTCTGGAAGTGAGACGTCGGTGTCGGCGATGTGGCTGGTTTTCTTTTTGTAGTCCATGATTGACTGTAGACCCTGCCACATACGTCTCGTGTCGGAGCCGTTGAATTGCGACTCCACTTTGTCTCTATACTGATGTTTTGCCAGTTTAATTGCCTTGCAGAGTGAGTAGCTACACTGTTTGTATTCTGCCATATTCCCAGTCAACTTGCCATGGTTGAATGCGGTGGTTCGCGCTTTCAGATTTGCGCGAATGCTGCCATCTATCCACGGTTTCTGGTTAGGGTAGGTTTTAATAGTCACAGTGGGCACAACATTACCTATACACTTCCTGATAAACTCAGTCACCGTTTCAGTGTATATGTCTAAATTATTTTCAGAAGCTACCCGGAACATATCCCAGTCCGTGTGATCAAAACATAACTTAACATTGGACAGTTATTTTCTCACTGACCCGACCGGGCCAGTTGGCCAAGAATCTACTGGCCCAAACATAATTTCTACTGGCCCGGACATGGTGTAGTTTTTAAACACATTGGGGTCATCCAGGGCCTATAGGTTGGAATGTTTTTTCTCTATATACAGCTTTTAATAGGCTATATTTGGTTATTATGATATGTATTAAAAAGCTGTTTAATATAATTTAGCAATGTAAGTCATTACTCTATTCTTTAGAATTGCATTGTATTAATTGCATTATTTGTTTTTTACTAATGTATGTCATTTTGAGAAGATTTGTTTTCACATCTCAAAATAGGACACTGCCCCTTTAAGACAATTATGTTCCAAACGTGATCACCTGGCTACAGCAGGTTAGCCAAGACAAATGCTAAAGTGTATTTTTGTAGCTTTCTTTTTGCAGACTATCAACAGTAGCCAGCATATTGCTAGTATGTTTACTATTGAAGGTTTACTTTTGTAAATCACTTTAAAATAAATAAGCTCAGAGAGTAGATTGAATGGCCACTTATTTTTGCTCAGGACAGCTTGCGTGTGCTGTGTGAATGTAGCTATCAACTTCTGTACTGCTTGAGCGCTCGAGAAGTTGTGACTTGTGGAAGCGTAGTGGTGCTTGAATGAACGGGCAATCATATTGCTCAAATACAAATAGCACGACTTTATTTGCATGTAGTCTTAAATGGTTTTCAATGGTAGACTGCGACAGAGCAGGTAAATGTTGAACTGGAATGCAAAAATGCATTGAGAATTTACTGGCCCGGTCGGTGCTGCTGCTTTAAAAGTACTGGGGAAAATGCTGTCTCACCACACGTTTTCCGGTGGCTCTGAGACAGTGTCTGGTGGTCGGCTAGACAGGAGTATTTTAAATATCTGAAACAAAGTAATTAATTCTCTAACTTTTGTGAACATATTGAACGCTGTAATAAAATTGTATTTTTGCATTTTCTAAACTGTCTCATCTTGTGATCTGTAACTGAACTGTGCAGGGAAAACAATAGGCCATTATTTAAGGTTGATGTCCTTCCCCTCATTAAACAGAAGGTGGTATAGTCTACTTGGAACTATAGGGTTGGGTTACCTCATGATTAAGAGGAGCCATCCCAGGTGTAACATGGTGAGTGTTTGCTGTCATAAAACAGCCAGTGTTATATTTACATGAGGACCTCCCTTCATTCTAAAAGGTGGTGTAGTCAGTTATTATAGGCCCGCCCATTCCCACCCCCTTTACAAACATAAACTAAAGATATCATGTTGTAATTGAAACATCTGGCACAAGAAAACTGGTTGACAGGCAAACAGACCAAACAAGTATTTTACAACAGGAAAATTGACCAGTGTGGTCTTGAAACTCCCCTCACTTTCACATAGCATGACAGGAAAATGACTAGTGAGGAAATTAACTGGCTAAAACAGTAGCTCTCTTTAAACAGCTACAGGAATCTAACACCTGGAGTATAGAACAGATGTTGTGGTCAGCTCAGTCACACACACGTACACACAAGCACTCACACACATGGCTCGCTTCAGTAGCTGCAGCCCATATGGAGAATGAATGTCTCAACTTTGAGTCACACAGGACAAAACAGAAACAGTCATGCTAATGTGTGGTCCTCCCTCGGTTATGAACCAAACCGTCCTGAAACCACTGTTTTCCACAGGGTCAGAGGACATGTAGTTGAGTGAGTGAGAGAGAAAGAAAGAGAGGAAGGCAGGCAGGCAGTCAGTCAGTCAGTCAGTCAGTCAGTCTCTCGCTCTCGCTCTCTCTCTCTCTCTCATGCCTGGGCTGGCAGAACATCAGCAGTGTCCTCAGAGGGAACAGCAGGTAAAGGTGAGGAGATGAATGGTTGAGTTAAACTCCCTATGAGGGAACTGCCAATACCACCAGTCCCTCCACAAAAAGCCCTGTCTCTCTCTCCAATTCCCTATATGCCTCTGTATTGATGGGTCAGTTAAATAACAATCAGTATAGATATTAGAGCTCATCACTGGGATCTATAAGTTTGAGTGGAGCTGTTTGTCTGGGCTGAGAGGGCAGGGAGAGGGAGATAGCATCAGAGAGAGAGGAGGGGAAGTGAAGAGAGAGAGGTGGGAGAGAGAGAGGAGGGAGGGGTGGGAGAGAGAGCGAGAGCAGAGAGAGGGAGATGAGGTAGAGAGAGAGAGAGAGAGGGAGATGAGGTAGAGAGAGAGAGAGAGAGAGAGAGAGAGAGAGAAGAGAGAGAGAGAGAGAGAGAGAGAGAGAGAGAGAGAGAGAAGGAAATAGGGAGATGAGTTATCTTTATCATCTTCCCTGTCCTTATTCTGGGCATGGTGCATTGGAGGAGGGAAAGAAAGGGGGAGAAAATGAGAAAAATAGAAAAGAGAGAGGGGAGGCTGGAGGAGGGAGATAAGGAAGACAATAGGCTTACACTCCAGTCTGAACACCAGTGACTTAAAGGAGTATTAAAATTGCTGTCTCTTTTTTCACATTCTCTTCTCTATGCGTTTATTCAATTTATGTTTTTTTTAAATCATTTCACAATGGGATTAATGTCAATGCTGTCACAGTCCAGGAGTCAGCGCCAATAGCGCAGTACTTAACACATGTAAGGCATCCATATTAGGAACTCCCAGAGTTGTTAGACAAAACAAAACTCCATCAGGTATTTTTCTTTAATCCTTCAACTGAGAACTGACAATCTAGGACACTTTGTCTGACAACTGAGGATGTTTTGTCTGACCTGACAACTGAGGGACTTCTTAATATGAACACCATACACATGAGGACAAAAAAATCGTAGCCCTGTCCGAAAACTACCCTTTCCAACTATTTGCAGACCTGAGGGCAAAATGGAGGGGGTGACTTACTTGTATGTTCTTTCATTGTGTAGTTCTGCCTCAGGGAACCCCAGCATTCCACACACCACTTTGCTGCTGTTGAGGTTCCAGCCCAGGTCACACACCTGTCTCCATCTCCCAGCATGCTTCACTTCCACCACACCCTCAGTGATCAGGGCTCGCTTCTTAGTGTGCATCAGGATGGGCCGCAGACGCACTTCCTGAATACGCACCTTGCTGGAATACTGAGAGAGAAGGGGGAGGGGATTTCTTAAAGCTTCACTGTAGAATAGTTTGATCAAGGACACTTTCAAATTCAATTGACCTACACAATGAATTTCCAAACTGGGACAATAAAGAGAGTGATTGACTATTGATTATTTCATTGATTGGCATTGGCAGTATCGGTGGTTGATCAGCAAATACCAGACATTAGCACGTGCCAAAGTTATAGAGTTGGTGGTGCCCACTGTAACTGCTTACCAGGTTGTATAGATGCTGTTTTAGTCTACAGTACCTACTTTACTACTAGAGGTATCAGGGTTAGAGAGTATAAGGTCTAATGCTACCTACCGGGTTGTAAAGGTGCTGTCTCAGTCTGGGGCTCTCCGGGGGGTGTCCGTTCCCCTGATGGGCCTGTCGGGGGTTACTGCGGCTGGCCAGAATGCTCTGCCACTGGGGCGAGGGGCTGACATCCGGACGCAGGGCGACCGACTGACCATTACGCGAACCTATGACCTGGTCCAGTCGTCGCTCCGGACTGCAGACCACGCCAAGGTCCTCAGAGTGCTTACAGTCATTGACGCCCCAGCCATTATGTTTACAGTCTTTCACAGTCTTCTCTGTGCCGTCACAACGCACGTTGTCCATCCAGATAGGACCTAGGGACGGGGGAAACTGGGTTATTATCGGATATGGACATCAACTTGTCATTGATGGATGTAGGGAGAGGGCGGGAGCGAGGGATACATGGCTGGGTGGGTGGGTTTGTGGGTGTATGTGTGGATGGGTTTGTAGGTGGGTGGGTGGGTGGGTGGGTGCGTTGATGGATGGATGGATGGATTAATTTAATGATTGATTGACTGAATCATCTATCCATTCCTTCATTCACTGATATATATATATATATATTATTTTTTTTTAAATAAAAGATGTGCCATATACTGTAATAAGATGCAACTGTGGGACTAGACATCATATGTCTCATCAGCTTCTGTAGGCCTCCAACACCCTTAGAGTAAACACAGTAAATACCACCAATTAATATAATCAAAATAACCCTGCAGTGACTGAGCTGAGTCCGCCACCATCATAAAGATACAAAGATAACTTATGGGACTTCACTGCACTGCTCAATACAGCCGCTGCCTGGCAGGCTGGCGATATACGGCCTGAGAGGAGCATTTGTTTTACAGTAAAGACAGCCTTGCCCTGCCAGCGACGTGCTACACTTGCCTTGGTTTATGGACATTCTTTATTGCCCCCTTTAAATTCCAATTAAAATGGAAGAGCCAGTGAACCAACAGAGCAGTATCTAGGCTAGGCTGTCTAGCACCACCACCCTATCCTGCAGCCTGGTCTCATAGACTAAACATAACACAGTAAACCCGGGACACTGACATTAGTAGGATATGTTACTTTGGTATTGTTACATAAGACAGATGGTTACTTAAGGCAAAAACGAAAATAGGGTGGTTGGTCGGAGTGGATTGGTGGGCGTATAACACGAACGTCTAGCAACCCAAAGGCTGCGAGTTCGAATCTCATCACGGACAACTTTAGCATTTTAGCTAATTAGCAACTTTTCAACTACTTATTAGTTTTTAGCTACTTTGCAACTACTTGCATGTTAGCTAACCCTTCCCCTAACTCTAACCTTGACCCTTTTAGCACACCCTTCCCCTAACTTTAACCATTTTAGATAACCCTTACCCTAACTCCTAAACTTAACCCTAAGCCCTAACCCTAAACCCTAGCCTAGCTAACGTTAGCCAGCTAGCTATAGTTAGCCACCTAGCTAGAAATCTAAACATATACGTTTTGCAAATTCGTAACATATAGTACATTCTGCAAATTCAGAACATATACGAAATGGAGTGTCTTGATTTACATGCAGAATAATACGAAATGCTCTGAGACCAGGTTGCAGCCTGGGATAGGTTACTGTTGTTGTGAAATTACTAAATGTGCAGCCAATGCAATATGGTAAATCAGGCCCCCCAGTAAAAGTCAAGTGCAAGGTGTGGAGGGTTTGGAGAAAGTTATTTAAGTTAGAAAGCAGGTGCACTCTTTACAGAAAGATAGGCCTATGCACTGACATTTGACAGATGGAAAATATTGGAAATCAACAGGTGACCATGTTTGTTTAATTTACCTTTCAATTGTAAAGAGTATATTATATGTATTATGTTACAGAAATAACATAATAACATAATACAGATAATATTATGATCGTTGCAAAATCCAACACCTGTTCTGGAACATTTACCATCACCCTCTCCATATTTGGCACTGTGCGCCCACGTCATGCCGGTCTGGAAGCCCAGCTCGCGGCAGACGACATTGGCCAGTTTGATGTCCACTTCGTCATCACACACCGTCCCCCACGTGTTGTTGTGCAGCACCTCTACGCGACCCTCGTTATGTCCCCGGGCATAGTTTCCCGCCAGGCGCACCTTGCCTGCGGGAGCCGGAGCGCGCGCGGTCCTGCTGCGTGGTGATGACGACGACGTTCGGCGGGGTTCCGAATACGCGGGGGAGGAGAGGAAGAGGAGGAGCAAAGAACTCAAGCAGTTGAGGAAGATGCGAGGCATCATGTCTGAGTATTGAGAGGCGTGGGGGGGGGGGGGGGGGGGGGGGGGGGGGGGGAGAAAGAGAGTCATCAACATCATTTAGTTTTAAATATTGTAATTGATAACAATTTTATTAGTCGATTGGATTTTATAGTGATCAATAGTATTGTATTCAGAGGTGATTATTTCCAATTGGATATTTAGCTCCATAATGCTGCACTGATAGTAAATTGGGGAAAAAAGAGAGAAAGAGATTGCTATCCTCAAACAGGCCAACACTGACATCATCTGGACATAGTTTAGAGATACAATGAAGAGGACCTGATAGAAACCAGTCTAATATGGGCAGAATATGAAGAATCTATTCAATTTCCAACACTAAATTTCCAACATTCTGTTCAACCGCAAAACTATAATTGCATTTCACACAAACTTAGAGGTATAATTAGTCTATAAATATTTCAGTTCTCAAAATCTAACCTCCTATCTGTACAAAATATCACCCTGGGGATACTGAAAAAATTTAACCCTGGACAGACACAGGCAGACCTAGCATTGCACAACACTATAACTTTACTAAATAACTCCACAAATGTTTGAGACATTCACTGTATCCACTGAAACACATGAGTATACACTTAGATTACATTTTACATTGAGTTGCACAGAAGCCGTTATAATAATTTCACTTCCTTAGTGTAATTACATGTAAATACCCCAGAAAGTTATTTGAATCAGAAATGATCAGAAATTGGTGAGTTTGGCACAAAATTCAACATTTTAATGAAACACCTGTAACATCCAACATCAATGATGCCAGTTTCACAGACCCAGATAAAGCCTACTCCTGGATTCCATTTTATCAGGTGGGTATTTGCATTTACCAGGTATGAATCAATGTGGCTTCATAGGCATAACCTAAAATGATACTTGGACTATGGTTAATCTTCATTTAAAAAGGTTGAGTCACAGACATGGTTGATGTTCATCAAATCACATGTTTTAGTCCTTCACTAACTAATCTAGAATGAAGCAACCACTCACGTTGAACCATCTGAGAAAATCCTTGTATGAGTAGGCAAAAAACATCAGCCAAGAGCCAACATGTAAACTTAACATAAATTATCTAGACTAATATACTTCAATTACAATTTGAATTATAAATCAAAACCAAAAGCACTGCAATAAGGTTAATAAAAAGTCTATAAATAAAACCAGCCTAAAATAAGAGTAAAGTGGACTCACCTGTTAGAAAGCTACAGACACAGGGAGAGGAGAGAGTGACTGAGTGAACGAGTGTGCCTACTAGATGAGGTCCCTGGTCAATCCCTCTGCTCCTCCCTCCCTCTCATTCCCTTCCTCCATTCATCACTTTCCTTCCCTCCCACATTTTTCTGTCTCTCACTCCATGTCCCTCTCTTTCTCGGTCTCTCTTTCTCTCTCTTTCTGTGTCTCTCGATCTTTCTCTGTGTCTCTCTTTTTTCTCACTCTCTTTCTGTTTCGCTCTCTCTCTGTGTCTCTCTCTTGTACGAATAGAGCTGAAATGTAGTCACATGTAACAAAGAAAGTCTCTTCTCACAAAGCACTATATCTCCTATACACTCACAGGGAGACATGTCCCCCCCTGTCCCCAGTGAAAGTTGTGCCCCTGTGTATATATATATATATATATATATATACAGTTGAAGTCGGAAGTTTACATACACTTAGGTTGGAGTCATTAAAACGTGTTTTTCAACCACTCCACAAATTTCTTTTTAACAAACTAAAGTTTTGGCAAGTTGGTTAGGACATCTACTTTGTGCATGACACAAGTCATTCTTCCAACAATTGTTTACATACAGATTATTTCACTTATAATTCACTGTTTCACAATTCCAGTGGGTCAGAAGTTTACATACACTAAGTTGACTGTGCCTTTAAACAGCTTGGAAAATTCCAGAAAATGATGTCATGGCTTTAGAAGCTTCTGATAGGCTAATTGACATCATTTGAGTCAATTGGAGGTGTACCTGTGGATGTATTTCAAGGCCTACCTTCAAACTCAGTGCCATTTTGCTTGACATCATGGGAAAATCAAAAGAAATCAGCCAAGACCTCAGAAAAAAAATTGTAGACCTCCACAAGTCTGGTTCATCCTTGGGAGCAATTTCCAAACGCCTGAATGTACCACGTTCATCCGTACAAACAATAGTATGCAAGTATAAACACCATGGGACCACGCAGCCGTCATACCACTCAGGAAGGAGACACATTCTGTCTCATAGAGATGAACGTACTTTGGTGTGAAAAGTGCAAATCAATCGTGGAACAACAGTAAAGGACCTTGTGAAGATGTTGGAGGAAACAGGTACAAAAGTATCTATATCCACAGTAAAACGTGTCCTATATCGACATAACCTGAAAGGCCGCTCAGCAAGGAAGAAGCCACTGCTCCAAAACCGCCATAAAAAAGCCAGACTACGGTTTGCAACTGCACATGGGGACAAAGATCGTACTTTTTGGAATAATGTCCTCTGGTCTGATGAAACAAAAATAGAACTGTTTGGCCATAATGACCATCCTTATGTTTGGAGGAAAAATAGGGTGGCTTGCAAGCCGAAGAAAACCATCCCAACCGTGAAGCACAGTGGTGGCAGCATCATGCTGTGGGGGTGCTTTGCTGCAGAAGGGACTGGTGCACTTCACAAAATAGATGGCATCATGAGGAAAGAACATTTCTTAAACATCTCAAGACATCAGTCAGGAAGTTAAAGCTTGGTCGCAAATGGGTCTTCCAAATGGACAATGACCCCAAGCATACTTCCAAAGTTGTGGCAAAATGGCTTAAGGACAACAAAATCAAGGTATTGGTGTGGCCATCACAAAGCCCTGACCTCAATCCTATAGAACATTTGTGGGCAGAACTGACTCAGTTACACCAGCTCTGTCAGGAGGAATGGGCCAAAATTCACCCTACTTATTGTGGGAAGCTTCATGAGGTAGTCACCTGGAATGCATTTCAATTAACAGGTGTGCCTTCTTAAAAGTTAATTTGTGGAATTTATTTCCTTCTTAAAGGGTTTGAGCCAAATCAGTTGTTGTGACAAGGTAGGGGTGGTATACAGAAGATAGCCCTACAGTGGGGAGAACAAGTATTTGATACACTGCCAATTTTGCAGGTTTTCCTACTTACAAAGCATGTAGAGGTCTGTAATTTTTATCATAGGTACACTTCAACTGTGAGAGACGGAATCTAAAACAAAAATCCAGAAAATCACATTGTATGATTTTTAAGTAATTAATTTGCATTTTATTGCATAACATAGGTATTTGATACATCAGAAAAGCAAAACTTAATATTTGGTACAGAAACCTTTGTTTGCAATTACAGAGATCATACGTTTCCTGTAGGTCTTGACCAGGTTTGCACACACTGCAGCAGGGATTTTGGCCCACTCCTCCATACAGACCTTCTCCAGTTGCTGGGCAATACGGACATTCAGCTCCTTCCAAAGATTTTCTATTGGGTTCAGGTCTGGAGACTGGCTAGGCCACTCCAGGACCTTGAGATGCTTCTTATGGAGCCACTCCTTAGTTGCCCTGGCTGTGTGTTTCGGGTCGTTGTCATGCTGGAAGACCCAGCCACGACCCCTCTTCAATGCTCTTACTGAGGGAAGGAGGTTGTTGGCCAAGATCTCGCGATACATGGCCCCATCCATCCTCCCCTCAATACGGTGCAGTCGTCCTGTCCCCTTTGCAGAAAAGCATCCCCAAAGAATGATGTTTCCACCTCCATGCTTGACGGTTGGGATGGTGTTCTTGGGGTTGTACTCATCCTTTTTCCTCCAAACACGGCGAGTGGAGTTTAGACCAAAAAGCTCTATTTTTGTCTCATCAGACCACATGACCTTCTCCCATTCCTCCTCTGGATCATCCAGATGGTCATTGGCAAACTTCAGACGGGCCTGGACATGTGCTGGCTTGAGCAGGGGGACCTTGCGTGCGCTGCAGGATTTTAATCCATGACGGCGTAGTGTGTTACTAATGGTTTTCTTTGAGACTGTGGTCCCAGCTCTCTTCAGATCATTGACCAGGTCCTGCCATGTAGTTCTGGGCTGATCCTTCACCTTCCTCATGATCATTGATGTCCCACGAGGTGAGATCTTGCATGGAGCCCCAGACCGAGGGTGATTGACCGTCATCTTGAACTTCTTCCATTTTCTAATAATTGCGCCAACAGTTGTTGCCTTCTCACCAAGCTGCTTGCCTATTGTCCTGTAGCCCATCCCAGCCTTGTGCAGGTCTACAAATTTATCCCTGATGTCCTTACACAGCTCTCTGGTCTTGGCCATTGTGGAGAGGTTGGAGTCTGTTTGATTGAGTGTGTGGACAGGTGTCTTTTATACAGGTAACGAGTTCAAACAGGTGCAGTTAAAGAAAAACTAACAGGTCTGTGAGAGCCGGAATTCTTACTGGTTGGTAGGTGATCAAATACTTAGTGGGGAAAAAAAGTATTTAGTCAGCCACCAATTGTGCAAGTTCTCCCACTTAAAAAGATGAGAGAGGCCTGTAATTTTCATCATAGGTACACGTCAACGATGACAGACAAATTGAGAATTTTTTTTCTCCAGAAAATCACATTGTAGGATTTTTAATGAATTTATTTGCAAATTATGGTGGAAAATAAGTATTTGGTCACCTACAAACAAGCAAGATTTCTGGCTCTCACAGACCTGTAACTTCTTCTTTAAGAGGCTCCTCTGTCCTCCACTCGTTACCTGTATTAATGGCACCTGTTTGAACTTGTTATCAGTATAAAAGACACCTGTCCACAACCTCAAACAGTCACACTCCAAACTCCACTATGGCCAAGACCAAAGAGCTGTCAAAGGACACCAGAAACAAAATTGTAGACCTGCACCAGGCTGGGAAGACTGAATCTGCAATAGGTAAGCAGCTTGGTTTGAAGAAATCAACTGTGGGAGCAATTATTAGGAAATGGAAGACATACATGACCACTGATAATCTCCCTCGATCTGGGG